TAGTAGTAGTAGTAGTAGTACTGCTACTACTACTACTACTACTACTACTACTAGTCGTGGTGGTGGTAGTAGTAGTAGTAGTGGTAGTGGTAGTGGTAGTGGTAGTGGTAGTGGTAGTGGTAGTGGTAGAGGTGGTAGTAGTAGAAGCAGTAGTAGTAGGAGTAGTAGAGGGCAGCAGGAGGAGTAGAAGTGGTGGTACAGTAAGAGTTGTACTAGTAATAGTGCTGTTGGGCCAGTGCGCTTTAGTTTGCCTTTATGCCCGATTATAACCACTGAACTCCTGTGCTTGATAGGCTTGAGTCCGAAGCCCCTGCCTGGCTGCCGAAGTTCACAGTTTCAATCCAGAGCCAAATCCCACCCTAAACCCTAAACCCTAAAACCTGAACCATAAACCCAACCGCTAAACCCTTAACCCTAAACCCAAACCCCTAGATCTCCAATCTCGATTCTTGCCAAGGGCCTGGTGGAAGGCAGCCACTGGGGTGCCTTGGTTTCTGGTCTTGCGAGTCCTCTGAGTTTGCGGACTGCGTGAGATATAACGTGAGGCGCGAGAAGCCAGAACCGAGTTTTGCGGGGGTAGACGATGTTTTTCCTGCATTTGCTAATCATGCTGACCTCTCTTAGTGGAAGAAGGTGAGGTCGCCCCCAGTACAGAAAGCCGGAAGCCCTTAAACTTCCTATACCCTAAATTTAAATCCTAGACTAAAGAACTTAACCACCAAACCAAAGTCTCAGATCCAAAGGCCCTACTGTAGGGGCCTAAATAATTAGCTATAGTATTTTGGGAGGTTCCTGAGTATAAGTATAGTATATATACCATACCCGAAAGCCTTCGGGCCCTTCTTTTTTAATCCCTGCTTCCCTGCAATGCACTTGGGTGTTTAGCTCCAAAGACATGCTGCGATGAAAGTTATGGCCCTTCACTGGCCTAAGGGACCTGATGAATCCTTATGTATCACTGGCTACTACGAAGCTTCACGGAGCCCACATCCACATTCGCCAGCCCAGGCCCCTCCACTACCTACGTGCCTGGAGGCGATTGTTGCGGGGTTTCATGTGTTCTGTTGCAGGTGCGGGAACCGTCAACCCGAAACTGGAAGCCCGACCCGCAACAGATTGAGCTGAATGCGAAGAGATCCGGATGCGGATGGATCTTGAGTGGGTCGGCACTTCAGAAACAAGAACTTTGGGTTCGGCGCAAGGCGTCGAGATGTTTCCGGGTTTTTTTCATGGAGCATGCTGGAAATTGATGGGTGGTTGAGGGTTAAGGGGTTCGCCTGATTGAGAATAACTTCCTCATGCTTCAGGCTGTAGGGATGCTTAAGAGTCTCTTAAGAACAGCCGGAGCCAGACCCGAAAAAGGTGACTGCATCGCTGTTTGCTCAAGCACACAAAAGGGCGGCCACCGACCATCCAGACTTCAATTGGGGGTGTGACTGGGGGGTGTTCTGGGTTTCGAGGCTGGGCAACTAAAGTCCAAGCCTGCTCTCTAAGCCCAGCCTGATGGGTTACAGTCTAGTGTGTAGCAAAACAAGTACAGGGGCCTTTACGATTGGAATAGGTTTTTGGGGTATATATAGTGTAGTGCATGCATCACAAGGGTGATATTGGTAATTACTTACGGGAGTAGGCTTCATGCAGACAGCTGCGGCAGCGGCCTTCGTTTATTGATGCACTCAGGGGGAACAGGACGTCACTCTGATTTCAGAGGGAGTCAGCGAGGACCAAGCCCAAACCTTCGATCCGCACATCAGGCTATGGTGGTACAGGTGGCTATGGCGGTGGATACGTCTACTGCCCCGACCTGCACTTCGGCGTAGAAGGGATGGAAACACGTAGTCAGTAGCATGGCTTTGGGGGAAAATTTCGGGAGTGTAGAGAAATTTGATAGCTGCTTATTGCGACCCTGGCCGATGCCGTCGTAGAATCACAGAGTCCGTCTTGTTTAGGGTTTAGGGTTTAGGGTTTAGGTGGACCAGACGCCCCCACTCTTAGGCTGGCATCCCGGACCTGTCAAACAGTTGCATCCCGACGCATTCACTGAAAGCCTGAAGCCTAAACCTCGCAGTCGATGCTGGCAGAGGCCCAGCAAGTTTCGTTCCGACACTCCCCGAAACATAAGACTCTTGTGCCCACCTTCTAACCCGAAAAGCTCTGACCCCGTCGTAGACATCTCAACTGGGATCTGTTCAGGATCTATTCAATAGATCCTGAACAGAATCTATTCTTTTGCGCTCTGACATCCCTCCACGAGAAAACTACAGGTATGAATAACCCCTACACCCCTAAACCCTAAACCCCTAAACCCAATGATTGGGTGCTCAGCGGGGGGTTCAAAGAAGCGGTAAGCGCCACTAAAGTCTCTGGGCAGGCGGCCGCTGAAGTGTCAGAGGTTGTGTTCATAAGCCTAGGAACCCCAAAAGGACATAATTAAGCAGACGCATTTTATAGGGATATCCCCACCTTATTAGGCTTCATTCTCAGGGGATTTATATGGGATATCCCTATCCTAATTTCTGCTTATGTGCTTCTTTGGGGCCCTAGTTACCCGACAGCAAACCCCTACCTCTATCTATCCAATATAGTCCAGGCAAGCTCTAGTTCAAACTCTGGGTCTAGATCTACATCCGAATCTGTGTCTAAATCTAGTCGAGTCTGACGTGATCTATTCTCACCTAGTTTCAAAGTGGATCTAATCTGAACTAATCTAAGCTAACCCAACCCAGTTTCACACACACACACACACACACGTATACATATGATTATGTATGCGTGTATGTATGTATGTATGTATGCATGCATGCATACGTTTATATGTATCTGTATGTGTGTGCGTGTGTGTCTTTAGGCTATATATATATATATATGTATATATATATATATATGCATACATGTATATATATATATATATATAAAATCTATGTATTCCATGCATGCATAAGCACACGCACACAGGCACATGTGTGTACGCACGTGCATAGCTACACATGGAAGGGTACGTACACACAGGCACACGCACACATATTATCGTGGTGCTGAAGGATTCTTGCATGCATGCTTGGTTACAGGCTTGCTTGCTTGCTTTCTCCTCTTAGTTCTCACCCACTCACTCACTCACTCACTCACTCACTCACTCACTCACTGCTTGCTTGCTTGCTTGCTTGCTTGCTTGCTTGCTTGCTTGCTTGCTTGCTTGCTTGCTTGCTTGCTTGCTTGCTTGCTTGCTTGCTTGCTTGCTTGCTTGCTTGTTTGCTTATGTACCCATCTACTTACTTGCTTTAGCGTATTTTTCATACGTACGTGTGTGTATATGTAAACGTACCTGTGTGCATACATATATACATATACGCACACACACACACACACACGCACACATGCATGTGTAGCAGGTGCCAAGCATCGAATCCGTGAACTCCCAATCGGTTCCCAGCTGGAGGTACTGCTACGAGACGCCCTACAGCTCGAACGGCTTGGAGCCCAGCTTGTAAGCCGAAATATAGACAGTATAATATGGGGGCCTCAATAATTACCTACATAATTTCGGGGTTTCCTTGTCATAATTTCAGTATAATGGGGCCCAAAACCCTAGTCCAAATATTAAGGCCCCTATATTAAACACCTGAATGCACGATCGACGTCCTGAGACTCTGAACCCCCTCCCTGAACCCTAAGAACAGCTGGATCTCTGTTTGGACATGTCTAGGCCCTAAACCATTGCTGATGCTACGGCTTATGCCTTGAGGTTTGGGTATGGGCCTAAGGATCCAGAAACGGCAGTGGCCTGGTTCTATCTTTTCAGACGGGTCGGGAGCGAAGACATATGTGTTGCCAAACACATACTTCCCACAGTTCAGGGTCCTTAAAGTAATGCAGGATTTATATCACCAACCTGTTGATGATATAGATATAATTCTAACGCATTTCAGTTATACTTGTATCGTACCTTCCGTTTAGTTGTATTGTACATTCAGTTTGTGATCGTGGTGGATGTGCGACCCCCAAGCCGCCAAGCTCAAGCAGGCAACAATCCGGGCCATAAGAATTGGAATAGTGTTTTGGGGTACATCATACATCTTAGTATGGTTATATATGAGCTGTCATGATGCAGGTTATAAGTGAGCTTCTCAGCAATTCCTCAGACTGCTATACTAAGTCGTTTGGCACAGGCACGTTGGACTGGAACCTGTACAACGACACCGCGACGTGCATCGGCTATGGTGCGTACGAAACAGGTCAGCCCGACTCTTTCAGTGGCGGTGTCAGGGGAGAGAGTTAGAGACAGCCCGAAGCCTCAAAACCTGAAGCCCCACACTCTGATCCCCACACGTTCAGGGTAGTATAGAGGCCTAATAGATGACTAGCAATACTATTTTGGGGATTCCTTGTTATAACTGTAGTTTAATGGGCCCCGAATACCTATTCGAATTATTGAGGCCCCTAGATCAGGTGGGCTAAAGTTAAGGCCCCCGATATCACCAGGGTACTTGGTGACACAAGGCTTCGTGTCCTGGGTTTCACGACCTGGTAAGGCATGCACCAAGTGCGTGCATCTTAAGATCTCACAGACAAGCTCTGTCAGTGCCCTTTCGGACCGAAAGACCCCCTAAACCCTAAACCCTAAACCCTAAGCCCCGGGCGCCTCCTCAGCCCCCGAACAGATAAGGACCGTCTTACAAGGCGGAGCTCCGAGTCTCCGGTGCTCGCAGCCCTCGAACTCGTGACTTTTGGGTCGGTTCTTGGGGTTTATAGTCGAGGCCCAAAAGTTGGAAACCCAATAGCCTCAACCCTGAAGAGTAATGTATAGGGAATCCCAGCACTAGTTGCCCGTAATCCGGTTTCCAGCTTTTTGGGGTTTACTATAGGGTTTAGGGTTTCCTTTACAGGGATCTATATAAGGCTTCCTTTAAAGGGATCTATATAAGGTTTAGGGTTTTTCTCTTGGGGCAGCCGAGGCGAGGCCGAGTGTCGAGGGCTTCCTGCCGCACCCTTCGGCGCGCTGCTAACCCCTGTAGTCCCTAAACCCCAAGCCCGAAAATCTTGAAAATCCTAAACACTAAACCCTAAGCCCGAAAATCCTAAACCCTAAACCCTGCACCCTAAATCTTAAATCCTAAACCCTAAGCCCGAAATCCTAAGCCCTAAACCCCTCTGCCGTGACTTGCCAGGCTGCCCCTGCCACCCGCAGTGGGAGACGGTGTGCGAGAGTGGTTCCCTCAGTTCAGTCAAGGACTCGGGGTTTTTGGCGGGGAAGGGCTGGGGGTTCAAGGCGCGAAACAGGCCCTAAACCCTAAACCTTAAACAGGGGCTAAGTGACATCTGCGGCTTTCGGGGTCCGCAGCTTTTTGCAGCGAACTCTGACAGACCCCGCAAAACCGTGCAACCCCAAGTCACCCCTTATTCCCCCAAACCTTTCACTTTCGTCCCGAAGCCGAAACCGTAAGCCTTAAGCCCTCAACCTGATGCCCTGCTACAAAAAATCGAGAAGAAGGGTTCGGCGAAGTTAAGGTAATGTAGGGCCTTAGTAGTTACCTATACTATTTTCTGGGTTCCAAAATATAAGTCTAGTCTGATGGGCCCCAAAACCCTATTCTAATCCTTAAGGCCCCTATATTCGAGGCATTCGCAGGTTGGCAGGTTCAGTACTTTGGGGTTGACGACCCTCGGCAGTTTGACATCGAGAGGTTTGGAGCCTGGGGTCTAGGAGCTATAGGCCTTTGGAGCCTAAACCCAAAAGCACTAAACCCTAAAACCCTAAACCCCTAAACCCCTAAACCCCTAAACCCTAGACCCGAAAACCCTAAACCCTAAGACCCTAAACCCTAAACCCTCAAGCATAAAACCAAATCCAAAAAACCTAAACTCTTAACCCTGAACCCTTCAACCCTGAAGCCAAAAACACTAAACCCTAAACCCTTGTGCCTAAACCCTGAAGCCTCCACGAAGTCGAGATTTTCTGATGTTGCCTCCGAGAAGAAATTTGCACCTCCGAAGTCACGGAGCCTCGAGACTTCAATACCAATGATATAAAGACTAATAGAAACACTACTAGGAATATTATGTAAAGTAATACAAACAATAGTACTAACGGCAATACTACTTTTAATACGAATATCAATACGAATAGTAATACGAATAGTAATACGAATAGTAACTAATGGTGAGACCAGTAATCTTACCATTCGTAATACTACTGCGCCTGAATCTCTCGACGCTGAAATGCCAAGCTCCCGAGACACGGAGCTTTGGATCAGGCTGGGGCTCGAAATTCTGCGTACCAGTGACGGAGGGCTGTGCCTCGGCGGTACAGTACTGTAATGTCAGTGAATGACGTCAGCCAGTAGCACTGGCAGTAGCAGTGGCAGCAGCAGAAGCAGTAGCAGAACCACAGTGGTGCAATAGCGCAGTAGCGCAGTAGCAATAACGCAGCAGCAGGAGTGCACTAAAGCAGTGACAGAGCAAAGGCAGTGCCAATGGACCATGCTGGTAGTTGTCGTCGTTGTCGTTTTCACAGTCGTGTTCTAGTCGGCGGTAGTGGCAGCGGTACAGGTAGTGGGTAGTCGGTAGTGGTAGTGGTAGGAGCAGGAAGCAGTAGCAGGAGCGCAGGAAGGAGCAGGAGCAGAAGCAGCAGGAGCAGGTGCAGGAGCACGAGCAGCAGGCTGCGGCAGCCTGCGCTTTGCTCGTGGTAGTGAAAGCGGTAGCCAGAGAGCGCTTTGTTTATTGCTTAGGCGTTTGGGTTAGTTTAGGGCCGAATTATACCTGTTTGGCGTCGAGTCCGGGTATTCTGGCTTTCGGCTTTAGGATTTCAGACTCTTTGCAGCCGGTCGAAGTTCGGGATTTCGGGTCTCAGGCCTGGTTCTGGCCTTGAAACCGTGTTGTCTTACGGACTAGGGTCGACGATATAAATCCTCTACAATATACCAAAGGTCCCATAGTTTAGGGGTCCTTAAGGCAGTGCAGGGTTGATATCATCATCAGTAGTGTTGAGGGCCAGGGTGGCTTAGGGGTTCGGGTTTTCAGGGGTTGAAGGTTTCGGGTTCCCCAGCCCCTGATCTGACATCGAAGTTGTGATTGAGCTGTGGGCCTGCTTTCCCATGCAGTATGCCTGACGCCGTAACTACACCCCAACCCCTAAACCCTAAACCCCAAACCCTAAACCCCAAACCCTAAGCCCTAAACCCCAACCCCTAAACCCCAGACCCTGAACCGCAAACCCTAAACTCCCTACACCCCTAAACCGCAAACCCTAAACCCTAAACTTCCCTAGACCCCCAAACCCCGAAGCCAGACTTGCAAAATGGAAGCTCTCGACCTGAACGCAGGGTCGGGGTCGGGGTCGGGCCCTAGAGCTCCAGGCTGGGACCCTTTCGACATCGACTGTGGCTTCGGGCAGAAGAAGTGCGAGGATTAGTTGGTACTTCGGGACTTGGGGATTTTCGGCCCTTAGCCCCAAACCCTAATTGAGGGTTTAGGGCTTAATAAACCCTAAACCCTAAACCCTAAACACGAAACCCAAAAAAGTTTGGTGGCCATTCTGGTAGAGTCTTCAGAGCTGGGAGCCCCGACCTTCGGATCGCGCCGCATGCTTTCATAATGAGCTCGTGGTTTCTTTGTGGGTCTTCTTCGGGCCTGATCTCGACTTTTTGAGGTTTTGGGCTTGTTCGGTGCCCTCAAGGATTTGGGGTTTGAGGGTTTAGGGTTTAGGGTATCGGAATCTAGGCTTCACATGGTGTTTGGTGTGCGCTTGAAAGTCTTTGCCACCTGTGTCAAATTGTAATTCGGAAGGAAATGTGAAGATATAGTCTTCTTGGAGTTTGGGTAGTACAGGTGTATGTATATAGTTTGGGTTCTTCATTTAGGCCCAAGGAAAGAAACCACGTCGACCTATGTGCAAACTCATAGGTTCAGAATCGTATATCCACCCTTAACCCTACACCCTAAACCCTAAACGCCAAACCCTACACCCTAAACCCAAACCATCCGCACTGAACCCCCTTGAGTCTCCACAGCCAGAGCACAAAGCCACAGCCCAAACCTCAAAGCCTCATATGGTAGTTCTCTAAATTAAGGTTTTATTTTGGGTCCTTTTCATACGACCGCCGCACTATATTGGGGATCTAAAGGGACCCTAATTTAGAGAACTACCCCAATCCTAAACACCTAAGCCCATACTTTAAACCTTGAGCCCTAGCCGCTGAACCCGAGGCCCCTACTCCTCAAGACTTTGAGCCCTAAACTGCCCCAAACCCTCAAAAAAACCAATTGCCCAAAAGCAGAATGCCCCAAGCTCTCAAGCTCGGGCGGAGTCAAAGGTCCCTACACACTTTTTTAAAAACTCGCTTCCCCGGTAGTACCCTTTTGCACTTTTTCTTTCTGGGTGCCCTTCTTGAGACCGATTGAATAGTACGCAAAAGGGTACCCTTATTCTTAAGGGGCTACCGGGGAACTTAAACAAAAAAGCAAGCCCTGAACCCCCCCGAAGCCCTGCCGTTGCTCTCAGCCGCAGGGCGAGTTCAGCGCCTTTTGCTGGGAGGAGTCCTGGGGCAGTTGCCCTCTCTACTGCACCAGCCGCCTGGCACGCACTTGGGGGTAGAATTGGGGTCACGCTTTAAGTCCCGAATATACTACGGCACCCCCTTATGAGAAGGATCCTAAAAGGGACCCAAATCTAGAGAACTAGTTTGGGTTTAAGGGCTTCGGGTGCCAAACCTTATGTCGTAGGTGCACTTTGGGGTATACTATTAATTATTATAATTAGGAACCCTCAAAATAGTATAGGTAATTATCAAGGCCCCTATATTAAAGTCTTGAGTCACTATGGAGTTTGGATCCTCGGATGTTGTGAATGGTGCTGGCTTTGGGCATAGTGTTGCTCCCTGTCCAGTCCGGGCTGTTTCTGCTTTTGGCTTTGGGGCTTTCCCGGTGTAGGTTTTCGTAACCTTTTCATAAGTTCATTCTTCGGCTAACTTGTAATAACCCTGAACCCTTACAAACCCTTTATAAACCCTAAGCCGTAAACCTCGTACGGGCCCTTCCCTAGTCGAAAGCACTCTTTACGGTGCCGAGCCATGGCTTAGGCAACGAGACAATGTGCCACAGCTATGGCTACGATGAGTGCCCTGGCGTTTTAGGGCCTCGGGCCTATAGGGCTTAGGGCTTTAGGGTTTGGGCTTACGGCTGAGGGGTTAGGACTTGGATTTTCGGTCGGGCTTTTTAGGTATTCGGGTCTAGGCTTTTAGGGTTTAGGGTCTGGGCTTGTTCGGGTTTAAAGGGTCTAACAATGAGGGCCGTGGCTTCTATAGATCCCTAATATGGTAACTTAAATGAAACTCCTTAACAGGATCCTTACTATAAGTATAGTATAAAGTACCATCCCCCCCCAAAAAAAAAGCATTCTAATTACTAAGGCCCCTACATGATAAGGTTTCGGTTTTGAACTTCGCGTCTTCTCTGCGAGACCTGGCCCCAAGCATTTTTGCCATGCATGCTCAGCCTTCCGCTCTGAACCCGAAATCCCGAAACCCCTAAGACCTTCATGCCTTCAGCCCTAAAGCCCTAAACCCTAAAGCCCTAAACACCAAATCCTAACCTCTAAACAAAAAAACCCTAAACACCACATCCTAACCTCCAACCCCGAAGCGCGGGACCCCCAAAGCCCCTAACCCGCCGAAAGAGGGCCCCGAAGCCTCCAAAGCCCTGAGCCCCGAAGTGCCAGAACCCGAAGACTCCTACATGACCCCCTCTGGCCGCTCTCCCCAGAACCTGGGACGCCTCAAAGCAGGGTTTGGGGTTTCTGGATTTAGGGTTTATAGGGTTTAGGGTTTGGGGTTTAGGGTTTGGGATATAGGGTTTAGGGTTTGGGATATAGGGTTTAGGGTCTCGGGTTTGGGGTTTAGGGTGTAGGGTTTAGGGTTTAGGGTTTAGGGTTTAGGGAGCCATCAGCAATCAATCAGAGCCCCATTGCATAGAAGGGCTGGAGGGATTATGAAGTTTTTTTTTGGGGGGCGACTCTATAATACCAGTATTCGATGATACTCGGGCCTGTTAAAAGTATTGGAGGTACCTACATCACCTCAAACATCTCCTCAACTACGGATTATTGCTCCAGTACGGGGTTTAGGAGTAACCCCAAGCTTTGTTCTAACTCTTCAGGGTTTAAGGTTTAGGGCATCAGGGCTGATGTAGGGTTTACGTGTTTTGGGGGTTTGGGTTGGAAGCCGCTTGAGAAGGCAAACTCCCATTCCCAAAAGACCCGAGTGGAATTCTGCCAAATCCCCTAAAACCCTAAGGCCCTTAACCTGTCAGCCCCTAATATAGGGGCCTTAACAATTACCTAGACTATTTTGAGGGGGTTCCTGATTATCGTCATAGTATAATGTACCCCAAAACCCTACTCTAATCATTGAGGCCCGTTCATTACCCTTAAACCCTACCGGACCCTATAAGACCTACCTTTTTAGGAATCCTTATTCTCATTTCCTTATACAGGTCCTTAAAACGGTAGGTTCTTCATCATTTCCTTCTTTACGCCCTTAAAGCGGTAGGTTGTTTACGGCCCAGGTGAACCCTAAACCCATCATAAGTATAGTATAATGGGCCCCAAAACCCTATTCTAATTATTCAGTCCCCTACAGAACTAAACCTTAAACCCTAAACCCTAAACCCTAAACCCTAAACCCTAAACCCTAAACCCTAAGCCCTAAGCCCTAAGCCCTAAACCCCGTGATGGTTCGAAGCCAAGGTTCGGCTATCAGAACTACTCTGCCGGGGGGCCTGGCCTTCCCCACAGGTCTCCGAAGAGGTCATTACGGTTTAGGCTTTAGGGTTTAATTAGGGTTTAGGGTTTAGGGTTTAGGGATAATATAGAAGCCTAAATGATTACCAAAAAATTCCTTGGGGTACTTTGATCATAGCGGTGCTATCATCCCCCCCCAAAGCCCTTGTCTAAGTATGAAGGCCCCTATGTTAAGCCTTGAGCCCGAAAACCTGAGCTCCTAAAACCCTGAGCGCCGACGAGTCCTGCACCCTGAAGCCCAAGATCTGAAAGCCCCACAGCCCTACTATAGGCGCCTAAATAATTACCTATAATATTTTGGGGTTCCTGATTATAACTATAGTATAATATACCCCACAACTCTATTCTACTTATTACGGCCTTTACATTAACTAGAAACCCCTGTACAAACCCTTACACCCTACACCCTTAACCCTTAAACCCTAAACCCTTAAACCCCTAAACCCTAAACCCTAAACCCTAAGCCCTAAACCCTTGAACCCTACACCCTAAACCCTAAACTTGAACCCTGGACCCTAAACCCTAAACCCTTGAGCTCAAGTGTCAGGTTTGGGAGTCCTGGAGGTATTTTGGGGGGTCGGCCTCGATGCGCCGGATATTGGGGTTTGTGGGTTTAGGGCTTTTTGGGCTCTTTGGAAGGGCTCTAGGGTTTCAGGCTGTTTCAGGGCTTTGGGCCTGAAGCTTGCCCATACGGCTACGGGTGTGACTTCTCAGAACTTCTTCTGCCGTTCCACCCCGAAGAAATTGAGCTCTCAGCATAGGGATAAGGGATCTATACACCGGATCTATAAGGTGTTCCTATAGCAATACTGTTCAGGGGTCTCGTTATTATGATTATAATGTACAATGCCCCAAAACCCTAGTCTAACTATAAAGGCCCCGAAGCCCCTTATAGTAGCCCTTATAGTAACCCTTTTTGACACTGAAAAGAGCCTTTATACAGGAGCCGTATTCTAATTATTAAGGCCCCTACATTACCCTGTAAACCTAAACCCTAAACCCGAAACCGTAAGCCCCCTTTAAAGGAACCCTATTTAGGCTTGAGGGTTGTTTCGGGCTTCAGAGTTTGAAGGTTCAGGAGCGGAGGGGTTCTGCAGGAGCTTCAGGGCTTCAGGGTTTAGGGCTTTGGGTTTGGGGTATAGGCTTTAGGGCTTCGGGTTTAGGATTTAGTGATGCAGGCTTGTTACATGTAGGCTTTCGGGGCTTCAGGGCTAAGGGGTTTTGGGGTTATCTCAGCCCACCCGTTCAAGATCCTGGAACCCTGAACCCTACACTCTAAACCCTAAATCCTCAACCCTAAACCTAAAGCGTAAACCCTAAACCCTCTCTCCGTCAGCCAACCCAAAGCCCCCACTACGAGGACTACCAGGAGTTCTGTGCTCCGTCTGCCACGGGGTGCCCCTGCAACGCTCAGCCATGCGCTAAGGAGCAGCAGGTTGCGGTTTCAGAGGCTTTACTTGCAGGCGTTCAGGATTTGTGGGTTTCCGGGTTCGGCCGACTTGAAAATGCTCGTTTTGAGTCCCGATATGCAAGGTCATTTGCCAGCAGCCCCAAGCCGTGACGCTATTTCCTAGGTTCGAGAACAAGTGCACCGACCGATGGGGCCTCCCCGCCGCGGTTCGTGGCCTAAACGCTAAACCCTGAACCTGTGGGGGCTTTAGGGCTTTAGGGCGGCTTTTCGGCAGCAGGTTACGAGGACGAGTCGCGCCTCGAACCGTAATCTCAAGCTGCATGGATCGAAGAAGCATTAAGATACGGGCCGAAAAAATTACCAGTACTATTTTGGGGTTCCTTATTATAACTATGGTATAATGGGCCTCAAAACCCTATTCTAATAGTTAAGGCCCCTACATTAGACCCCTGAACCTGCAAACCGTAAACCTTGAACTAGCAGTGTGACTGGCGTAGAGAGTTTAATTTGTTTGTGGAACTACCCTCCTGCAGCTCCTATATCTTTGCAGTATGATGCCCTCCAAACCCGATTCCAACAGAAAGTGCACAAATTTGGCTCCGCACTCGTCCTGTACCGTTACTTGCTCACGAGGTTTAGGGTTTAGGGTCAATGGGACATTGTTTAAAGCCTTTAACGGTTCCTGTTGCACTTCAGCTTGCTGCAGTAGAACTTCTGTCACAAGCCCCAATCATATTCGGCATCCAGCTATGGTTTTGGGGATACTTCTCACCTAATGAGTACGGCCAGCGAAGCAGCACCCTAACAGCAGGATGCTCTGCTTCTAATCCCTGAGACCCCAAAGCTGCGCCCAGGATCGCCAAACAAGCTGAAGCGGTCGTGGCCACTAGTCGTAATGAGATCTCCCCGCCCCAGGACGCTGTTCCCGATAACGGTTCCAAGTGCGAGCCTTCGCCAGGCTACAGCTCGTGCCAGTCGAACCAATGGCCATGCCCCATCGTGTGCGGCGACAACGAGCAGGTGCTTATATTATACACAATACAACCTCTCTCTCTGTATATATATATATATATTACACATACATACATACATACA